GGTGTGGATGATGGAGGCTGGGGTGTGGATGATGGAGGCTGGGGTGTGGATGATGGAGGCTGGGGTGTGGATGATGGAGGCTGGAGGCTGGGGTGTGGATGATGGAGGCTGGGGTGTGGATGATGGAGGCTGGGGTGTGGATGATGGAGGCTGGGGTGTGGATGATGGAGGCTGGGGTGTGGATGATGGAGGCTGGGGTGTGGATGATGGAGGCTGGGGTGTGGATGATGGAGGCTGGGGTGTGGATGATGGAGGCTGGGTGTGGGATGATGGGAGGCTGGGGTGTGGATGATGGAGGCTGGGTGTGTGGATGATGGAGGCTGGGGTGTGGATGATGGAGGCTGGGGTGTGGATGATGGAGGCTGGGGTGTGGATGATGGAGGCTGGGGTGTGGATGATGGAGGCTGGGGTGTGGATGATGGAGGCTGGGGTGTGGATGATGGAGGCTGGGGTGTGGATGATGGAGGCTGGGGTGTGGATGATGGAGGCTGGGGTGTGGATGATGGAGGCTGGGGTGTGGATGATGGAGGCTGGGGTGTGGATGATGGAGGCTGGGGTGTGGATGATGGAGGCTGGGGTGTGGATGATGGAGGCTGGGGTGTGGATGATGGAGGCTGGGGTGTGGATGATTGAGGCTGGGGTGTGGATGATGGAGGCTGGGGTGTGGATGATGGGCTGGGGTGGCTGGGGTGTGGATGATGGAGGCTGGGGTGTGGATGATGGAGGCTGGGGTGTGGATGATGGAGGCTGGGTGTGGATGATGGTTGATGGAGGGCTGATGGAGGCTGGGTGTGGATGATGGAGGCTAGGGTGTGGATGATGGAGGCTGGGGTGTGGATGATGGAGGCTGGGGTGTGGATGATGGAGGCTAGGGTGTGGATGATGAAGGCTGGGGTGTGGATGATGGAGGCTGGGGTGTGGATGATGGAGGGCTTGGGGGGTGGATGGTGGAGGCCGGGGTATGGATGGTGGAGGCTGGGGTGTGGATGATGGAGGCTGGGGTGTGGATGATAGAGACTGGGGTGTGGATGATGGATGCTGGGGTGTGGATGATAAAGGCTGGGGTGTGGATGATAGAGGCTGGGATGTGGATGATGGAGGCTGGTGTGTGGATGATGGAGGCCGGGGTGTGGGTGATGGAGGCTGGGGTGTGGATGATGGAGGCTGGTGTGTGGATGATGGAGGCTGGGGTGTGGATGATGGAGGCTGGTGTGTGGATGATGGAGGCCGGGGTGTGGGTGATGGAGGCTGGGGTGTGGATGATGGAGGCTGGTGTGTGGATGATGGAGGCTGGGGTGTGGATGATGGAGGCTGGTGTGTGGATGATGGAGGCCGGGGTGTGGGTGATGGAGGCTGGGGTGTGGATGATGGAGGCTGGTGTGTGGATGATGGAGGCCGGGGTGTGGGTGATGGAGGCTGGGGTGTGGATGATGGAGGCTGGTGTGTGGATAATGGAGGCTGGGATGTGGATGATGGAGGCTGGTGTGTGGATGATGGAGGCCGGGGTATGGATGGTGGAGTTTGGGGTGTGAATGATGGAGGCTGGGGTGTGGATGATGGAGGCTGGGGTGTGGATGATGGAGGCTGGGGTGTGGATGATGGAGGGCTGGGGTGTGGATGGTGAAGCCTGGGGTGTGGATGATGGAGGCTGGGGTGTGGATGATGAAGGCTGGGGTGTGGATGATGGAGGCCGGGGTGTGGATGATGGAGGTTGGGGTGTGGATGATGGAGGCTGGGGTGTGGATGATGGAGGCTGGGGTGTGGATGATGGAGGCTGGGGTGTGGATGATGGAGGCTGGGGTGTGGGTGATGGAGGCTGGGGTGTGGATGATGGAGGCTAGGGTGTGGATGATGGAGGCTGGGGTGTGGATGATGGAGGCTGGGGTGTGGATGATGGAGGCTGGGGTGTGGATGATGGAGGCTGGGGTGTGGATGATGGAGGCTGGGGTGTGGATGATGGAGGCTGGGGTGTGGATGATGGAGGCTGGGGTGTGGATGGTGGAGGCTGGGGTGTGGATGATGGAGGCTGGGGTGTGGATGATGGAGGCTGGGGTGTGGATGATGGAGGCTGGGGTGTGGATGATGGAGGCTGGGTGTGGATGATGGATGATGGAGGCTGGGGTGTGGATGATGGAGGCTGGGGTGTGGATGGGCTGGGGTGGGATGGAGGCTGGGGTGTGGATGATGGAGGCTGGGGTGTGGATGATGGAGGCTGGGGTGTGGATGGGAGGCTGGGGTGTGGATGATGGAGGCTGGGGTGTGGATGAGGCTGGAGGCTGGGGTGGGTGTGGATGATGGAGGCTGGGGTGTGGATGATGGAGGCTGGGGTGTGGATGATGGAGGCTGGGGTGTGGATGATGGAGGCTGGGGTGTGGATGATGGAGGCTGGGGTGTGGATGATGGAGGCTGGGGTGTGGATGATGGGCTGGCTGGGGTGTGTGATGATGGAGGCTGGGGTGTGGATGATGGAGGCTGGGGTGTGGATGATGGAGGCTGGGGTGTGGATGATGGAGGCTGGGGTGTGGATGATGGAGGCTGGGGTGTGGATGATGGAGGCTGGGGTGTGGATGATGGAGGCTGGGGTGTGGATGATGGAGGCTAGGGTGTGGATGATGGAGGCTGGGGTGTGGATGATGGAGGCTGGGGTGTGGATGATGGAGGCTGGGGTGTGGATGATGGAGGCTGGGGTGTGGATGATGGAGGCTGGGGTGTGGATGATGGAGGCTGGGGTGTGGATGATGGAGGCTGGGGTGTGGATGATGGAGGCTGGGGCTGTGGATGATGGAGGCTGGGGTGTGGATGATGGAGGCTGGGGTGTGGATGATGGAGGCTGGGGTGTGGATGATGGAGGCTGGGGTGTGGGTGTGGATGATGGAGGCTGGGGTGTGGATGATGGAGGCTGGGGTGTGGATGATGGAGGCTGGGGTGTGGATGATGGAGGCTGGGGTGTGGATGATGGAGGCTGGGGTGTGGATGATGGAGGCTAGGGTGTGGATGATGGAGGCTGGGGTGTGGATGATGGAGGCTGGGGTGTGGATGATGGAGGCTGGGGTGTGGATGATGGAGGCTGGGGTGTGGATGATGGAGGCTGGGGTGTGGATGATGGAGGCTGGGGTGTGGATGATGGAGGCTGGGGTGTGGATGATGGAGGCTGGGGTGTGGATGATAGAGGCTGGGGTGTGGATGATGGAGGCTGGGGTGTGGATGATGGAGGCTGGGGTGTGGATGATGGAGGCTGGGATGTGGATGATGGAGGCTGGTGTGTGGAGGCTGGGGTGTGGATGATGGAGGCTGGGGTGTGGATGATGGAGGCTGGGGTGTGGATGATGGAGGCTGGGGTGTGGATGATGGAGGCTGGGGTGTGGATGATGGAGGCTGGGGTGTGGATGATGGAGGCTGGTGTGTGGATGATGGAGGCCAGGGTGTGGGTGATGGAGGCTGGGGTGTGGATGATGGAGGCTGGTGTGTGGATGATGGAGGCTGGGGTGTGGATGATGGTGGCTGGTGTGTGGATGATGGAGGCCGGGGTGTGGGTGATGGAGGCTGGGGTGTGGATGATGGAGGCTGGTGTGTGGATGATGGAGGCCGGGGTGTGGGTGATGGAGGCTGGGGTGTGGATGATGGAGGCTGGTGTGTGGATGATGGAGGCTGGGATGTGGATGATGGAGGCTGATGTGTGGATGATGGAGGCCGGGGTATGGATGGTGGAGTTTGGGGTGTGAATGATGGAGGCTGGGGTGTGGATGATTGAGGCTGGGGTGTGGATGATGGAGGCTGGGGTGTGGATGATGGAGGGCTGGGGTGTGTATGGTGAAGCCTGGGGAGTGGATGATGGAGGCTGGGGTGTGGATGATGAAGGCTGGGGTGTGGATGATGGAGGCTGGGGTGTGGATGATGAAGGCCAGGGTGTGGATGATGGAGGGCTTGGGTGTGGATGGTGGAGGGTGGGGTGTGGATGATGAAGGCTGGGGTGTGGATGATGGAGGCCTGGATGTGGATGATGGAGGCTGGGATGTGGATGATGGAGGCTGGGGTGTGGATGATGGAGGCTGGGATATGGATGATGGAGGCTGGGGAGTGGATGATGGAGGCTGGGATGTGGATGATGGAGGCTGGGGTGTGGATGATGGAGGCTGGTGTGTGGATGGTGGAGGCTGGGGTGTGGATGATGGTGGCTGGGGTGTGGATGATGGAGGCTGGTGTGTGGATGGTGGAGGCTGGTGTGTGGATGATGGAGGCTGGTGTGTGGATGATGGTGGCTGGTGTGTGGATGGTGGAGACTGGGGTGTGGATGATGGTGGCTGGGGTGTGGATGATGGAGGCTGGTGTGTGAATGGTGGAGGCTGGGGTGTGGATGATGGAGGCTGGGGTGTGGATGATGGAGGCTGGTGTGTGGATGGTGGAGGCTGGGGTGTGGATGATGGAGGCTGGGGTGTGGATGATGGAGGCTAGGGTGTGGATGATGGAGACTGGGGTGTGGATGATGGAGGCTAGGGTGTGGATGATGGAGGCTGGGGTGTGGATAGTGGAGGCTGGGGTGTGGATGGTGGAGGCTGGTGTGTAGATGATGGAGACTGGGGTGTGGATGATGGAGGCTAGGGTGTGGATGATGGAGGCTGGGGTGTAGATAGTGGAGGCTGGGGTGTGGATGGTGGAGGCTGGGGTGTGGATAGTTGCAATGATTGAATTGGCGATATTAGAGGTGATGAAATTTCAGGCAGGTATTGATGAAAGGGATTGATTGTGGTGATGGTGGTGATGGTGGTGATGGTGATGAGGTGGTTGTGGTCGTAGATGTCATGAGCGTGGGAAAGCGTTTATGGTGAGGGGGGGGGGGTGATTTCACTAGTAATCAGGTGATTACAGGGAAAATGGGGGCGGCGACAACGGCTGCTTGTGGTGGTGGGAGACTGACGCAGCTGTGTCAGTTGACAAGTAACCTTCACCGTCGCCATGTTCCTCAGGGCTGCCTCTCTTCTGCTACTCATGGTGAGGTGTGCTTGAGGACGCTGCTGCTTCTCCTATCCTCTCTTGCAGCATTCAATTTTGTCCCTACACTATCCTCTTCCCACCTAGGATATTCTATTTATATATCCCATTCTTTTCCATCCAATATTCTATCCTGTCATATTCTATGTGGGAAAACGTCGTTCAAGAAATACTTCCATTTTCAGAGCAGGTGAGTCTTGTGATGTGACAAACGTGAACTTTGTACGGACTGAATATCAAATATCCGTACAAATCCTCTCAAATAATTTTTCCTCAAGATGTGCCTAAAATTTGATTTGCTTATTGTAGTTCATTGCATTATATCTTAAAACACGCAAATATATGTATATTTTTGCACGCACTGCTTTTTTTTCATAAATCAATGTGCATTCATACAGTGTGTGACAGATGCTCATCTCAGTCCATGTTTCAGCATCTCCATCCCCTCCCTGTAAGGTTACTTCTCTCTTCCTATCCTGTCTCTAACTTCTCATTTCCTGATCCCTTCCAAGTGCTATATGGTTGTAATGGCTTGGTGCTTTCGCCTGATAAATCCAATCCTTTCCCTTCTTCTTAACGTCCCCTATTAATTAATATTCACTCTTACTGTGAGAACATGTCGATTGTTCACTAATGTTCACTCTGTGTGAATATGTGAACAGCTTCAATAGTGTGTATGTTATCCCAGTTCGAAACATTATTTCGATGTGTTATTGTACGTCTTTGGAACCTATAACACAGACCAGACCATACTGGCAACATCATATATTGTAGCTACACAATATTGTTACACTATGCTATTCACACTCTATTGGTCACACTATATTGGCCTCACCATACCGACACACAATTACTAGCCACACTATACACCTAATACTGGCCATACCATACTGACCACACTATACTGGCCTCACTATACTGACCACGCGATACTGATCACACCCTACTAGTTCCTATATTAACCACACTATATTGGTCACACCATACTGATCGCACCATACTTTACACAAGTAGTTGGAACGAAACCGTAATGAATACGTTTTGGTTTTGGGCGAAGTTTTCGTTATGACTACAGCAGTTTTAGCGTTTTTATCATGTGGGCACTCAGAATGGGCTGAGTGCCCATTCTGGCTTCATATATTTAAAGTTCCGTTTCAAGTCTGGGGTTATACCCCACACCAACCTGTCCTCTTACAAATTACGTCTGAATTTGGCCGTTTGCTTGTATGGCCGAAAATGGACGTAATTTGAAAATAAAAAAAATGAAAATAAATTTGACCCATTACCGCTTCGTCGAATACAGGGTCCCTCTCATGTCACAGCAGTGTACCGATTCCACTGTCATCGATTTTAGAGTCCGTCTCAAACGGGTCAAAGTTTGCGTTCTGCCTTCACCCTTATAAAGATGTCAGTCTTCAGTGTAGCAAGGTCAGATCTATTCCCAGGGCCGCCTCTAGGTGTCAACCGTCGTATTCTCGTTACAATTTGTTCAATATTTACGAAAATTTAATCAGTCATATTTTGTATGAAGTATAGGGAATGGACATAGTCATTGGGCTCCACCTCTCGTTTCAAGGCATAGATATCCCTTGTACTTTCGTAAGTATACATCCGATATAAATTAAATTAAAAACATAGATGGGCCTCGTAGCCTGGTGGATAGCGCGCAGGACTCGTAATTCTGTGGCGCGGGTTCGATTCCCGCGCGAGGCAGAAACAAATGGGCAAAGTTTCTTTCACCCTGAATGCCCCTGTTACCTAGCAGTAAATAGGTACCTGGGAGTTAGTCAGCTGTCACGGGCTGCTTCCTGGGGGTGGAGGCCTGGTCGAGGACCGGGCCGCGGGGACACTAAAGCCCCGAAATCATCTCAAGATAACCTCAAGATAGATGCTGGGGAATAAGTCAAAGATGAAAATGTAGTTCCTGCGCTCCAGCTCTCATTCCAAGTCATAGTTCATCTTTAAGTATTTTGCAATCATAAAATTTTAAAACGTAGACTCTTCTAACCTTCATAATGTATTTTGCTTCAAGAATTTTACACTTGCAAAAATGTGCAAGTATTATGACTGCAAGTAAAGTAATATGGGGAAAATTATTCAACAACAGTGTCTCTTTCCCTTCCCATCCCCTCCTCCCTTATCCTCCCCTCCTCCCTTTCCCTCAAACTCCTCCCTTCCCCTTCTCGCCAACTGCCCATCCTTCCCTCTCCTACTTCACTCAACCCACAACCCTCGCCTCTTACACCTAGAGATCCGTCCGCCCACAACCCTCCCCGTGCTCTACCTAGAGTCCCCTAACACTACCTAGAGTTCCCTTCACACATCCTCCCTTTGAACTGTTTCCTCCAGTAGTCCATCCGCTCCTCCCACCATCCACCCGGCTCCACCCTTTGCAATCCGGGCTCCCTAATCATTTTCCCTCCCTTTCTCCGTTCCCCCCCACCGCCTGCCTGCTCCGTCGCGTCCCTCCCCCCCCCCCTCATTCTCTCTCTCTTCCTTTCCACCTCCTCACCACTCCCTCGCATATTTTGAAATAACAAACACTTGCCCATTTTACTTATCTCTTTCATATTGCTTAATTTTTTTTATATTTATCTATGTCTCTTCCAAGAGACTTGGTTCCATGAGATGAAGCCTCGTGGAACAATGTTCTCTTGCTTATAGTGCAACATTGTGTTATAAGACTTGACCTACTTGAGGAGGTTGGTAGTATTAGGTGGTGAATCAGGAGATAGGATACCACTTGATAAGCAGATGATAGAGTTCTGATGGTGTTGGAGTGCAACCTGACTGAAATAGTATAGAGTGTAGGATTCATTATTATTATTATTATGTGTGTATGTTTTGTGTTTGTGCTTTGTCCAGTAAATGTATTCAAATTTGCTGGTGTTTGCCCTTGTCCTAGTGAGGCTTCCCAGGAGGTAGTAAAGAAGGAGAGAGAGAGAGAAAGAACCAAGAACCACTGCTGTTTACAGGGCAGGACGGAATACTAATAAGTCAAAGGGGATTGAGGAGATCATATCACATAAGGAGAGAGTGGGGAGTAACAGCGGCTCGAGTGGGTGTGTGCACGTGACAGAGAGGCTAAGTATTGGAGCCGCATCTCCTAAACGTGTGACGTTGAGCCCCTCTCCAAGAGCCAGAAGCGCCCAGGGTGATCTCCTGGTAAAGTATAAGCACTCTACCGAGTTTTGAGTTGGGTTGTCCATAAAGAAGTATCAACGACAACACCCAACCCACAATATAATATGACTTACCCGCGTAAGGCAGTACTTACTGACCAACGTGAGGCAGTACTTACTGACCTACCTGAGGCAGTACTTACTGTCCCACGTGAGGCAGTACTTACTAACTCACGTGAGGCAGTACTTACTGACCCTCGTGAGGTAGTGCCTACTGACCCACATGAGGAAGTACTTACTAACCCACGTGAAGCTGTACTTCCACGTCCACGTGAGGCATTGCCTACTGACCCACGTGAGGCAGTGCCTGCTGACCCACGTGAGGCAGTGCCTGCTGACCCACGTAAGGCAGTGCCTACTGACCCAGGTGAGGTAGTGCCTACTGACCCACGTGAGGCAGTGTCTACTGACCCACGTGAAGTAGTGCCTACTGACCCACGTGAAGCAGTTCCTACTGGCCGACATGAGGCAGTGCCTCCTGACCTACGTGACGCAATTCCTACTGACCTAAGTAAGGCCGTACTTACTGAACCACGAGAGGAAATACTTACTGATCTACGTGAGGTTGAACCTACTGACACACGTAGGGCAGTGCACACTGAACCACGTGAGCCAGTGCCTACTGTTCCATGTGAGGCAGTACTTATTGACCCCCGAGATGCAGTACTTACTGACCCACGTGAGGCAGTGTCTACTGACCCACGTGAGACAGTGCCTACTGACCCACGTGAAGCAGTGCCTACTGACCCCACTGAGGCAGTACTTACTAACCCACGTGAGGTAGTTCTTACTGACCTACAAGAGGCAGTGCCGGCTGACCCCACATGAGGTAGTGACTACTGACCCACTCGAAGCAGTACTTACTGACCCACGTGAGGTAGTGCCTACTGACCCACGTGAGGTAGTGCCTACTGACCCACGTGAGGTAGTGACTACTGACCCACTCGAAGCAGTACTTACTGACCCACGTGAGGTAGTGCCTACTGACCCACGTGAGGCAGTACTTACTAATCCACGTGAGGCAATGCCTACTGATCCACGTGAGGCTGTGCCTGCTGACCCACGTGAGGCTGTGCCTACTGACCCACGACTTGTAGTGTCTACTGACCCAAGTAATGCAGTGCCTTCCGGCCCACGTGAGGCAGTACTTACTGACCCACGTGAGGCAGTGCCTACTGACCAACGTGAGGCAGTGCCTATTGACCCACGTGAGGTAGTTCCTACTGACCCACGTGAAGCAGTACTTACTGACCCACGTGAGGCAGTGCCTACTGACTCACGTGAGGCAGTACTTACTGACCCTTGTGAAGCAGTACTTACTGACCTACGTGAGGCAGTGCCTACTGTCTCACGTGAGGCAGTACTTACTGACCCATGTGAAGCAGTACTTACTGACCCACGTGAAGCAGTACTTACTGACCCACGTGAGGTAGTGCCTACTAACCCACGTGAGGCAGGGCCTACTCTCCCACGTGAGGCAGTGCCTACTGACCCAAATAAAGCAGTGTCTTCCGGCCCATGTGAGGCAGTACTTACTGACCTACGTGTGGCAGTACTTACTGACCCACCTGAGGCAGTACTTACTGACCCACTTAAAGCAGCACTTTCTGACCCACTTGAAGCAATACTTACTGACCTGCGTGAGGCATTGACAATTTACGAGACAAGTCACAAAGAACAACACACAACAGTCATCAGCCAACACGGGATAACAAATGTTTGGGGGATAACCAAACTGCCGCCATCAGCCGCCTCCCTCAGGCGCCACACAACACCATCTATGGTGTAGGACTTACAGCATCTTAACTGCGGGAGGGATATTAAGGCCACCATACTAGTGTATGGACCATCCAGTAAGTACACTCGGGTCTTGGACATAGTTCAGTACTAAAGTAAACTCTCAGTGTGTATACAGTGAGAGTTCACATTGCTCGCGACTCTTAATCATCATTCTAGACAAACACTTAAGAAAGAATTCAAATAGTTATTGTTATGTCATGATTTTGATTACTCTTTCACGTGAATTTACACTCCTTATGGTGAGATTTATATTATAAATATATCCAGACATTTTAATATAGTTTACTACTTTTTTCTTCTCGTTATTTATATTATTAATGGCAATGTGTGTTTAGTATGTATAAGTTGCAATATAACACATCATTATATTCATCGCTCTCCTTGCCTATCTCCCTTTTCCTCAATTCTTATCCCCTACTTTCTCTCATCATTTCTTTCTTCTCTTCTCCACTCATTTCTTCCCCTTCCTCCACTTCCCCTCTCATTATCTCTCATCATCTCTGCTTCTATAACAAGGGGGAATATTAATAGGTTGCTAAATATATCAACCATAAGAAGTAAACAAAGCAGTGGATAAAAATTGGATACGTTTACATGCAGGAAAAAATTAGTAAATACTGGTATAAGAAATAAAGCTATTACAGTATGGAATAGCTTACCTGGTGCTACATAGTTGCTACTTTGTTACCGGGTAACTTAATTGATGTGAGATTCCTTGGTTGTTTCAAGAGTAGATTAGACATATGTGAGTGTGATTGGTTGGGTACACATATAGGAGTTGCCTCGTAAAGACCACAACGTCTTCTACAGTCTTCTGCACTCCTACAGTCTCTTGTCTTATCTTTTGCTCTTTTAATTGTCTATTGTGTTTTAATTGTCTATCATTTTCAAATATGAAAGTTCTTTCTATAAGTTTATTGACTTTATAGAGTCCGTTGAGGCAAGATATAATTGTATCCCTATTTGAGACATGTCTTCTCTGGGTCTTGTTTGTTTACTAGTTTCCTAACCCAAACGTCCCCAGCCTCACCCTTCCACCCTATCCATACTCGTGACAGGTGTGGAGAAGCGAGCAGGTGTGTGCGCCAGACTGCTCAGGTGTGGACTCCATGATCAGAGTGAGAGACCCCACCGACTGCACCCGGTACTACGTCTGCCTCGACGCCTCTAACAATGGTAACTGCGGTCCACATATCACTCACAAAATCTGAGCCTCACATGGTGGCTGTTGCAGCTTAGTTTCCACTTATGAACCAGTTTATGAGCCCCGAAGCATACGAGGTTTTCTGTAACAATTATCCAGCCCGTCTTCCAAACAAAGACCTAAAAGTGATTCCATGCACCCACTACAACCCGTCCTCGACTCAAGTCCATTACACCCAGCGGTCGACCCCACAGACGCATTCATAAATTTTTACATACTGTTCATTCAAAACGGGAATTTTCTCAAATATAAATTAATATTATAATATATTAGCATATTGTGAATATTTAAGCATAGGTTAGGTTAGGTGTTTAGGTTTTGTTGGCGATTATTTGTATTTGTAGTACATGGGGTGAAGCATTTATAGCGTTGCGATTCGAACAAAATTCGTCAGTGAAGCACTTGTTCCGGAAGTGTTCGGACGTCAACAGTTGTGAGTCAGCCCGTCCTCCAAACAAAGATCCAAAAGTGATTCCATGCACCCGCCAAACCCCCTGTTTATGAATGAAAAGCGGTTTACACACGACTCACAACTGCTGACGTCCGAACATATCCGGAACAAGTGCTTCACTGACGAATTTTGTTCGAATCACAACGCTGTAAATGCTTCACCCACGTACTACAAATACAAATAATCGCCAACAGAACCTAAACACCTAACCTAACCTATGCCTATATATGCACAATATGCTAATATATTTTAATATTAATTTATATTTGAGAAAATTCCTGTTTTGAATGAACAGCATGTAAAAATATATGAATGCGTCTGTGTGGTCGACCGCTGGATGTAATGGACTTGAGTCGAGGACGGGTTGTGTGAGTAGTGTGTAAACCATTTTTCATTCATAAACAGGGGGTTTGGCTGGTGTATGGAATGGACTTTGTGAACTTGTTTAGAGAACGGCTGGAATAATTACCTTGAGTCGAAAACGATCTCGAAGTGTTTCTCAGCTCGTCAACTGTTTAGTAAATATAGACTAGGCCGCCATGATCGAGGAAAGATATAGAGATTTCTTAAGTGGACACGTAAATACTTAATGAGTCTGAGCTTGTTTTGATAGTTTTAGTGAGTATTCTTTCCTGCTTTAAGCTTATTTTTATATTGTTTAGGTGTGTATTCCACTGAAAATTGTGAGTTCTTTGATGCGACAAAAATATTTCATAAATGGGGTGTTTTCTACTAAAAAGATTATAATGATTTTACTGATTTCTTCCGATAACTTAGTCTTTGGGTTGCTCTTCGTTAATCAATAAAGAAGAGCATTAAACAATTAATTTCACAAAAAGAAATAGATTGAAATATTTTGGGTTGCTTTAAAATAAAAAACTTATCTTTTTGATGGAAAAAAATTATTTTAAGCCGAATAAGGTTATTTTTTACGCTTATTTTCAGTAGTGGAGTTCATTCAGAGGTTCAGGCATGAGTTGATAAAGCTGGGTTTGGTGGAGTTGTTGATTCATCCAGGAAACCAGGCTATTGCAATACCCGCCTTGCATCTTGCAACGTCGAATTCAATCCTTGATAATCGTATCAGACAAAATGCCTATGAAATATGAATCTATTCCAGGGGAAATGATTGCGTCTATTGACTCGGTGTCATGTCCCGACGATTACTACTTCAATGAGAGCCACACCGTGCCCCGCTGTGACCCGCTGACCACACTCCCTGACCCCTGCCGGTCAACGTGTGACCCCTGTGTACCGCATTGTCTCGCCCCCGGCAAGGTCACGCCCCACCCCACCAACTGCTCTCTCTACTACGTGTGCCTGGATGACAATCTTCTCCTCGACGCCCACTGTCCACCGGAGACGCGCTTCTTCGACTACCGATCCGGTGTGTGCACCGACGACAATAGTGTCTGCTACTCCTACTGCGACCTGTGTGTTCCTCACTGCACCACCCCGGGTGAGCGCGTGCCAGATCCCTACGACTGTACCAAATTCCATCTGTGTGTTGTGGGCGGGATGGTGAGTTACATGTGCCCGCATCACCGGGTGTTCAACAGTGACACGCAGCTTTGTGAAGACAACATTGAGTGCATCTCTCCCTGCACGAATTTGTCTCCAGAAATGTCAACGGGTGATGAATGGTGACAAACTGAGCATCGCAGTAGTGGATGTCATCTGCAAGATGGCCCGGGTGGAAGGTTCCTTCCTCTCCCACGTCTTTCAGGACTTCACTATTAATGTTTCTCTTGCTAGCATTACTTGTACTTCCACACAGAGTACCACTAAAACTACTACCGGTAGTACAGAGCATTATTTTAGTGTTTCAGTAAAATCACACACACACACACACACACACACACACACACACACACACACACACACACACACACACACACACACACACACACACACACACACACACACACACACACACACACACACTACAGGATGACCAGGACAAACTGGAGGAATGATCTAGAAAATGGCTGCTAAAGTTCAACTCAGGAAAGTGTAAGGTAATGAAATTAGGCGAAGGGAGCAGGAGGCTGAACACAAGGTACCCCCTGGGAGGTGAAATCCTGCAAGAGTCAAATAGTGAGAAAGATCTGGGGGTTGACATCACACCGAACCTGTCCCGAGAGGCCCACATTAAAAGGATATCATCAGCGGCATATGCTAGACTGGCCAACATAAGAACTGCCTTTAGAAACTTGTGTAAGGAATCGTTCAGGACCCTGTATACCACTTATGTCAGACCAATCCTGGAATATGCAGCTCCAGCCTGGAGTCCACACCTAGTTAAACAGAAGACAAAGTTAGAGAAGATTCAGCGGTATGCCACCAGGCTCGTCCTGGAACTGAGAGGTATGAGCTACAAGGAAAGGCTAAAGAAGCTGAACCTCAAGTCCCTGGAAAACAGAAGAGTAAGGGGGGAGACATGATAACCACCTACAAAATTCTCAGGGGAATTGACAGGGTGGACAAACTCTTCAACACGGGTGGGACACGAACAAGGAGACACAGGTGAAAACTTAGTACCCAGATGAGCCACAGAGATGTCAGAAAGATTTTTTTCAGTATCAGAGTAGTTAATAAATGGAATGCACTAGGCAGGGATGTGGTGGAGGCTGACTCCATACACAGTTTCAAATGTAGATATGATAGAGCCCAGAAGTCTCAGGAATCTGTACACCAGTTGATTGACAATTGAGAGGCGAGACCAAAGAGACAAAGCTCAACCCCTGCAAGCACAATTAGGTGAGTACACACACACACACCAGAGAGATACCAGAGAACCAGGAATGAGTACGTCAGGGTGAGAAGAGAAGCAGAGAAAAGTTTTGAATATGATATAGCAAACAAAGCCAAGACCGAACCAAAGCTACTCCACAGTCACATCAGAAGGAAAACAACAGTGAAAGAACAGGTATTGAAACTTAGAACAGGCGAGGACAGGTATACAGAGAATGACAAAGAGGTGTGTGTAGAACTCAACAAGAGGTTCCAGGAGGTCTTCACAATAGAACAAAGTGAGGTCACTGTGCTAGGAGAAAGGAAGGTAAACCAGGCGGCCTTGGAAGAGTTCGAAATTACGAGAGAGGAGGTCAAGAGACACCTGCTGGATCAGGAAGTTAGAAAGGCTGTTGTCCAGACGGGATCTCACCATGGGTTACCTTACCTTGAGGTTACCTTGAGGTGCTTCCGGGGCTTAGTGTCCCCGCGGCCCGGTCGTCGACCAGTCCTCTTGGTTGCTGGACTGATCAACCTGGCTGTTAGACGCGGCTGCTCGCAGCCTGACGTATGAGTCACAGCCTGGTTGATCAGGTATCCTTTGGAGGTGCTTATCCAGTTCTCTCTTGAACACTGTGAGGGGTCGGCCATTTATGCCCCTTATGTGTAGTGGAAGCGTGTTGAACAGTATCGGGCCCTCTAATGTTGATAGAGTTCTCTCTCAGAGTACCTGTTGCACCTCTGCTTTTCAACGGGGATATTCTGCACATCCTGCCATGTCTTCTGGTCTCATGTGATGTTATTTCTGTGTGCAGGTTTGGGACCAGCCCCTCAATTATTTTCCACGTGTAAATTATTATGTATCTCTCCCGCCTACGCTCAAGGGGTACTGAAAGAGTGTGCAGAGGCACTTTGCTTGCCACTCTCCATAGTGTATAGTAAGTCACTGGAGATGGGAGACCTACCAGAAATATGGAAGATGGCGAATGTGGTCAAAATATACAAAAAGGGCGACAGGCACGAGGCACTGAACTACAGGCCAGTGTCCTTGACTTGTATACCATGCAAGGTGATGGAGAAGATCGTGAGAAAAAAACCTGGTAACACATCTGGAGAGAAGGGACTTCGTGACAAATTGCCAACATGGGTTCAGGGAGGGTAAATCTTGCCTGACTGGCTTAATAGAATTCTACGACCAAGTGGCAAAGATTAAGCAAGAAAGAGAGGGCTGGGCGGACTGCATTTTCTTGGATTGTCGGAAAGCCTTTGACACAGTACCGCATAAGTGGCTGGTACATAAGCTGGAGAGACAGGCAGGTGTAGTTGGTAAGGTGCTCCAGTGGATAAGGGAGTACCTAAGCAATAGGAAGCAGAGAGTTACGGTGAGGGGATTGAGACCTCTGATTGGCGTGAAGTCACCAGTGGAATCCCACAGGGCTTTGTACTCGGTCCTATCTTGTTTCTGATATATGTAAATGATCTCCCGGAGGGTATCGATTCATTTCACTTAATGTTTGCGGACGATGCCAAAATTATGAGAAGGATTAAGACAGAAGAGGACTGTTTGAGGCTTCAAGAAGACCTAGACAAGCTGAAGGAATGGTCGAACAAATGGTTGTTAGAGTTTAACCCAACAAAATGTAATGTAATGAAGATAGGTGAAGGGAGCAGGAGACTAGATACAAGGTATCATCTGGGAGAGAAAATTCTTCAGGAGTCACAGAAAGAAAAAGAATTGGGGGTTGATATCACGCCAGACCTGTCTCCTGCAGCACATATCAAGAGGATAACATCAGCGGCATATTCCAGGCTGGCCAACATACGAACGGCATTCAGAAACTTGTGTAAAGAATCATTCATAACTTTGTATACCACATATGCCAGGCCAATCCTGGAGTAGGCAGCCCCAGCATGGAGTCCATATCTAGTGAAGGATAAGACTAAACAGGAAAAGGTTCAAAGGTTTGCCACCAGACTAGTACCCGAGCTGAGAGGTATGAGCTACGAGGAGAGACTACGAGAATTAAACCTCACTTCGCTGGAAGACAGAAGAGTTAGGGGGGACATGATCACCACATTCAAGATTCTCAAGGGAATTGATAGGGTAGATAAAGACAGGCTAAGGTTTTAAAGGCAGGTTTTCTCTTGAGCCTCAAGCCTAGCATATTCTAACTGTGCTTCCATCTCAAGACGCCTTATGGCTAACTGCTCACTTGTCCCTTCACTTACTTCATCCAGGACCTCTTCCCCTAGTTGACCATCTTCCACTAGATAAGTCACTAACACTCTCACTATCTGAGCTTTAACCGTCTTATTACTGGCTGCTAACTTTAGTTTATTTGCCATACTGATCAAGGCAGACTTTGTCAGGCTCTTTATCACTTAAAAGTTTGGTTCAGCCAACAATGACTCTACTTGAATCTCCATGGTTAACACTTGGCACTTTACTTATTAATAAGCAATGTTAATATAGAACAACACTGAGCACTTCACTTTTCTGGAAATAATATTATAATAATTGACACGACACTGAAAATTGCTTGGCCCACTGCGCAAGCGAAAAATATAATGACTTACCTCAAAATCGTGAAAGCGTGTATACTGGCTGTGTATGGTGAAACACAGGATAATAATCAGTCACGGAAATAACTAGCAAATTTTTTCCTAGGACACACTATTCCCTAGGAAGGCAAAGTTAGATTAGCAAGGTTTTTTATAATGTGGGAAATCTCCCGGTTATAGGTTTTCATGTGGGAAATCTCCCGGACAAGGCCCCCAATATTTTGTTACTGCTCGTTCATACAGCTCGTAGAGTTAAGGGACAATGATAAGCATAGTCTAGGGTTAGTCACTGTCTTTAGTACACTCTACCAGAGTGCCCCGTGAGTCAGTACAAAACAAAAAGAAAATACAATACTAGGATACAGAAACATGCACATAAAAATCTATATATAATATAAATTCAAGAGTATTCATAAATGTATCCCAACAAAATCAGATGGCAAATCAACACAATGAAAAATATACATTCTCTCCAGATAATAAATTTACTACAACGAAACTAGATTAAGCGTTAACATGCTTATCAGACATGATGTTCCCCCACTGAGTGTCTCCGGCAAACTGAGGTTTCCCCCGACTCTCTACCCACAGCTCCCTGCTCCGCCTCCATCCAGAACAAGGGATGGTAAACAAGTACTTTTACTTTAAATCAACAAATGAGAAAATAATCGTTCTCACATGGATATGAATAAAAGCTAAAATGTAACTGCAATATGTAAATAATATAAGTTACAATACCACATGCTTAATAAAAGGAAAATAATAATAATATGAATATTAAAAGGTGACATCTAGCAACTGCCACAAATGTTCACGTACAATTATTTGGTCCAAACTGACTAGATTAATACAGGTAAAAATCAGGCAGAAAATCTTGCAATAGTCGCTGAAATTAAGAGAGCTGTGAGAGTACTTACCAATCAGGGAAGAGTCATCAAGTTTCTGTGGATCCCCTCCCATGTTGGAATATGTGGGAATGAGCGAGCAGATGTGCTGGCTCCTGAAGGCGCTGAAGGAGACCATATTGAATACTTCATACCCAAGACTCAACTACAAATTAGAGGTATTATCAGGCAACATCACCGTGAGAAGGTAACTGAGGAAAGGAGGATAGAAGCACAAACCAGTGAATCTGTACGATGGTACAACATGGTTGCAGCTGGCAATCCCAGTCATTATGGCCGAAGAGGAGGAGGACGAGGGAGAGAATCAGTAATAGCGAGAATCCGTCTTGGATAGAAATATCCATGGAGATTTGGAATGGAAACAACAGTTGATCAGCGAAGTTGCAGAATCTGTGGTGAGAGTGATGGACACCGCCTTGACCACTATCTACGTGAATGTGAACACCTGAGAGACATTAGGAATATGTGTAGAATAATAAACCCCAGATTGTTTGAGTTAGGAAAACACTATTTGTCAAATATTGATACTGTTCTTAAAAGATTTCCCCATTTTGCACCCGCAAGATAACGTAAGCTTTAAAGGGTTGATAGATGTTAATCTTCTTGTTTGAGGAGCTGTTCACTTGAGACAGTTAAGCAAGTCCCAGCTGTGTCTGGGTACAAGTGACAGGATGAACAACCCAGCGGGTTTTCTTCCTATTGGGGAGTGTTGTACATGCTGCTATGGCGGTGTGTCC